ACTTAGGATAATGGCCTCTGCTTTCCTCCAAGTTGCTGCCAGGGTTGCAATTTTTAATAGAGTGGGCAGCATTGAGGAGCTGACATGTGAGCAGAGACAGGGAGGAGGGCTGACCACAGGGGCATCCGTGGAAGGGCGCAGGCCTGAGGCAGGAGCGTGCTGGTGTGCACCCGACGGGAGGAGGGACACGCCCGGCTTACATCTTGGAAAGGCGCCCTGACTGGGAATACACTGGCAAGGCAGGACTTGAACGAAAAAAGTATAGAGCAGAGGCCCCTGCAGCCATCCAGGTGAGGGCTGATGGGGCTCAGCCCTGGCGGTCGCCTTGGAGGAGGCGAACAGAGGTCAGATTCTAGGTCTCCTACCTCTGTGCCTTTGCACATGCCGTTCCCTTTACTCGGATGCCCTTCCTTCTGCACTGGTGTTCAGACTCCTGCTTGTCCTTCACCGTCCATCCCAGCCTGATCCTCTGAGCCCCTGCTCTTCGGCTCAGCCCCTCTAGAGCACCTGGCACAGGGCTTCTCAGCGAGTTGTTGATATTTCTGGTTCCTCTGCCCAAGCCTGGGCTCCTGGTGGGCAGGTTCCATGTCCTGTGTGTCCCTCGGTCATAGCCCCAGCAGGAGGAGGCAACAGGGAGAACTGGGTGAAGGAGGGACAGGGCCCCCAGGCTCATGCCTGGGTTCTACTCCGGCTAGTGAGCACTTAGCCTCTTCTCCCAGCCCACGACCTGGCCCCGCGCAGTTGCCTGCGCCAAGCGGAAGGGGGCCCACAGGGAATGGGGATGTCCCCACTTACACTCATCATCATGATGGGGGGTCTAGCAGTGTAGCAGCTGCATCCCTAACATCCACCCCCCCGCAGGTCCCTGAAGAAGTCTGGTGACATCTGGCTGGACGCCTACCTCCACCAGTGAAGGCAGCAGAGAGGGGTAAGGGCTCCGGGCCCAGCAACCCCCAAGCCGGCCCCACGCAGGATCAACACCCCAGCCCTCCACCCGCTGGACTAGGGGTGCCCTGCCTACCCCTCGCTTGTCTGTTCAGCAGCCCCATGGCCTTGGCTCTGGGCCCAACAGGGCCGGGGTAAAGGGAAGGTACATAAAGCCACACGGCAAGCATGGCATGTTTTCCTAGAGCAAGAACTGGGGGAAAACTGTTATTTTTATATAAAAACACACCCAGATGTATTATGGAATAGGGCATTGAATCTGCATGAATTTTGGAGCTGGGGTCTCAGACTCCCCAGTGTGTTCGGGCCCTTGGGCCGTCAGGGTGTCGGGGGATGGCAGCTAAGGTGCTCCCCCACTCTGGGTGCTCTGGGTTGGGGAGCTGGTGGCTGCCTGGGCTCAGATCCGCCCAAGGACCTGGTCCCTTCCCGGTCATCCTCTCACCAGCAAGCTGGGGCGAGTCGAGCTGGGCTTCACCTCTGCACGATGGGACAGGGCTGGCCCTGTGAACGAGGACCCGGGGCTGAGGGCCATGTCTGCAGGCGTCTCTGGAGCACCGGCTGGGGAAGCCACTATGTTTCTAGACCTGCGCCGACCTCCTCGCAGCCCTCCGTGATGGGGGTTCTCAGGGGGCCCTGTGGGGTGGGCCACCTATTGATTTCGGCACCGCACTTGGCATCATGGGGGTGGTGGTGCAGCCTGACCAGGCCCAGTGGCCTGCAGGGGTGACAGTGACCTCCCCCATGCCCACCTGGGGCCAGGTGCTTGCCTGCAGTTGCTGCACTGAATAAGCTGGACCCCTGAGGCGTGGCCATCCTGTCCCTGAGTTCCTGGAGTCTGGGGACTCACGCCGACTGGCTAGTGTCCTTGGGCAGGGCACTGCCCCTCACCAGGCCTCAGGCTCCTCGTCTGACAATGGGTGAAGTTGGACTGTGCCTGTGGATTTTTGGCAAGTTCTGGGGAGGGCTTTGAGTTGCCGTTTGGGGCATCCTGGCTTGGGAAGAAGGGAGGGCTGGGCGGCGGCCTGCTTGGCCCCAGCATCCGCTCGCAATGACTGAAGGTCTTGTCTCAAGTGTCGGCAGCTTAAAGAAGAAAAAGTTGAAATGCTAAGCCAGGATTTCTCTGATGCCTTTCTGGAGCGGAAGCCAGGGTTGCCCACCAGCTGTAAGGATTGCCCCCGACCCTGTCGAGACTCCCACTGTCTGGGCTGGGCTCCTTTCGGATGGAGGGAGGGGCGCAAACACTGCAATTCTTGTTCATTCCTTCCCGAGCGCACCTTCTGTGGGTGGAGCTGGGGAGATGTCATGCTGCCCCCAAGGCCACCCCCTCCACAAGGCAGCCTTGGGCGTCTCAGCCTGTGAACTTCTCTTCCAAGACTATCTAGAAAGCTCCTTAGGGCCGGGCGTGGTGGCTCACGCCTGTAATCCTAGCACTCTGGGAGGCCGAGGCGGGCGGATTGTTTGAGCTCAGGAGTTCGAGACCAGCCTGAGCAAGAGCAAGACCCTGTCTCTACTAAAAATAGAAAAACTAGCCAGGTGCAGTAGCACATGCCTGTGGTCCCAGCTACTCTAGAGGCTGAGGCAGGAGGATCTCTTGAGCTCAGGAGTGTGAGGTTGCTGTGAGCCAGGCTGACGCCACAGCACTCACTCTAGCCCGGGCAACAGAGCGACACTCTATCTCTAAAAAAAAAAAAAACAAACAAACAAAACCAAAGATGTGGAGGACGGTAGGGACGTGGTCAAGGTATCCCAGCATGCTGGGGAGCCGCTCGTTCTGTTATGTGTGAAGCCAGGCTGGTTAGGAACGGAAAAGCCAGTCAGAGAGCCTGGAGCTGGGACCTCAGCCAGGCCTTCCCCTCCGGCCTGTTTCTTCCCACACAGGTTGCTGGAGGAAGCTCCTTCCATCCCAGACATCAGAACAGGGGCTTCGAGTGGCTGCATTCTGTCCAGAGGTGCACATCTCACTGGGGACGGTGCAGCAGGACCCAAGGCGCTGTGTCACATGAGTGGTGACCAGACACTCCCAAGGGCAGCCAGAGCCCAAGCCCTCAGGTGGCTGCCACCTCCGCCCTGGCCCCCCTCGCCAAAGGCCCCCTCGCCCTCCCACAGTGGACTCCACACATAGCCCAGGCTGCTCTGCCAGCCCCTGCTCTGGGCCTGCCCCCGCCACCTGCAAAGCTGCTGCAAAGCTGATACCCTTTTATCTCAGTGGCCCCTGCTGTGGGTGAGCTCTTATCTCCTGACAGGGACTAGGCCCTCCACCCCCTGTGCCCAGGAGCAGTCTGACATTTGACATGAGGCGGTGGGGTACCTTGGTAGGGGAACCAGCCCTTTCTGTGCAGGGGGAAGAGGAGCTGACCAGGGGCCTGCTGGGTTAGGGGCAGGAATCCCACAGCCTACCTGACTCAGCTGCTCTGTGGCCTCAGGCCAGGCCTTTCCCTTCTGGTCTCGGCCTTCTCGGCTGTGATGGAGATGTCAGGGTTGATCACTCAGGGCCTTGAATATTAGTGTGTTGGGACTTTGGTGGGGGTAGGAGTCAGAAGCCCACAATTCTGGGGGCGTTGGGCAAGAGCCTCAGGCAAGTACCGGGACAGGAGGGAGCTGCTGGGTGGGGAGCAGGTATGGGTGCCCCCAGCTTCTTCACCCAAAGGCTCAAGGGCAGGGCGGGGCTGCGGGAGGAAGTCAAGGGAAGATACAGGTGCCCATGGAGCTGGGAGCCCTCAAAGCCGGAGCGTCCACCTGGCCTTCAATGCCCTCCACCACTCTCCCCCTCCCTGGGACTCCTGTTGTCACAGGTGGTAGACCCTGGATCTCCAGCTGGTGGGGTCGGGTGCCTGGGCTGGTTGCCATCCTGTCCTGTACCATCCTGGGAGTCAGGGCGCCAGGTCCAGCCTGGTGGCAGGTGGAACGCAGGCACAGGTAAGGGCGGAAGGCAGGTTCTCCGCTGTCTTGCAGCCTCCAAGGCCTCCAGTGGATCCACCAGGAGGGCAAGGTCAAGGGCACACAGGTGTTGAGAGATGACATCATCTTTGGGGTCCCTGTGACCCCACCCCTGCACTGTACAAATGGGGAGACTGTGGCCGAGAGGGCCAGGGAGGACAAAGGGATCCCCAGGGCCACTCGGTGAGTTAGATGGGATGTCTGCTTCCGGGATCGGGCCTTCCCCTGCCGTCCCAGGCCATACTCCAGACCCCTACCCAGGCCGGGACTGTTCCTACCTGGCTAGACTGCAGTCAGGCAAAGCTGGGCTGGGGGCTGCAGGTCCACTCAGAGGTCCTCCCCGGCCCTGCTGGGAGTAGCTGCAGGGCTGGGGGAGCTCCTGAGGCACAGGCTACCCAGTCCCTCTCGGCCCTTCCCAGGCACACCTTCCCAGGGTCGGCCCTGCCAGGGGCACCAGCCCAGAGACGATGTTCAGAACAGCATGCAGGCCAGCATGCAGGGGGGCAAACTGTACAAGTGCCCCTGGCACGATCCTTTGGACTCTTCCAGGGATCTGGGGTCAGACATACCTAGGACCCAGTCTCTGTCATTGCTGGTGACCTGGGCTGGGATCACATCGGCCCCCCACGGCACAAGGGTTCTGAATGAGCCGCTGCACAGGCACAGGGGCCGCAGATGGAAGCACCGGTGTCCAGGGCCTTCCTCAGCCCTTCTAGGGGCACCTGGGGTTGTCTGTCCCCAGCACTCTGAGGGAGGACAGCAGGTCCAGGGATGAGGACAGGCTGCACTTATGGCAATGGGGAGACAGATGGGAGTGAGGGTGTTAGGAAGGTGGCCTCTGGAAAGCCTCACGTGGCTCCAGCGGTGTTTTGGAATTGGGCAGGGTCAGCTGCTGAGGGGCCCCAGGAGGAGGAAGGCAGGCCGATGTTTTTGGGTCATTTGCCCCAAGTTCCTGGCCCAGAGTGCACTTCAGAGGCAGCAGGGAGAGGAGCACAGGGAGACCACAGGGGAGGGAGGGGACAGAGGGATACAAGCATGGGCCCCTCCCTGGAGCCCGCTGGGAGGCCCCCCATACCTCGGCCTAGTAATGACATGCAGGAGGCAAAACGAAGTGAGAATAAAATTACTTCCTTTATTTCCAACAAATGTAGGGGTGGGGAAGAAACATGATAAAAATTAAGATCAGTTCCCTATGGATTCATCCTGACATACGGTAGCTGGCGGGGGACCCAGGCGGGCCCTGTTGCCATGGCAACCCGGAGGTCTGTCAACACTAGATGCTGGTCCCCTCTGAGTTGTTCATGCCCCGCCCCGCCCCTGAATCTAAATATTGATTAGTGGGTTAGATTTTGAACGCAGCGGCTCAGGATTCCTCCCAGTGGCGAGACATCCTGCCCTCACCTCCGGCCCCCACCGGCTCCTCTTCTGGGCTTCAGCTCAGCCCTCATGAGGTTCCTGTCCCCTGGCCACACAGGGCTGCCTCCTCCACTGCCTCCTGCCTAGAGGCCCTGACTGTAGGGCCACCCTGGCCACCGTGAGCGAGCCCGGCCTGGGGGAGGCTGGCAAGGCCACGTGGTAAAAGGCAGATTGTCACAGGCCCAGCCCCTGCCCGCGCCTATCGGAATGCATCCTGGAGCAAAAGGTTCGGAACAGAGAGTGCAGACAGGAGCGCCTGGGGGTGGTGAGACAGTGCTGTCTACATGGCAGCCCTGATTCTGGCAGGGGCCAGGACCTCCGGCTCCAGTGCCCTCCTGCAGCTTGCAGGGCCCAAGTCCCCTTAGGGCAAGTAGCCAGGGTTAGCTGGCACTGTCCAGCAGGTGACGGAGCATTTGGGAAAAGGGTCTGACTGCTCCTTAATCTTGGGCCTCTCAGCTAAGACAAACATCTGAACAAGGCCGGCTGGCCCCTCCCCCAACCTGGCCATCTTCTCTGCTGAACCCACAGGGACTCCCCCTTGGTGGCAAGGTCATAGGCTCGAGTTGAGAAGGTGGTAGAATGGGGCCTGCACAAGCCCAGGGCCAGAGTGCTCCAGTGGTGGGCGCGGGAGGACATTTCTCTGGGCCCCAAGGTCTGAGCTAGCTGTGCCATAGGCCCAGGGCCCTGGACATCCAAAGGGAGGCCCCACTGGTCCCAGCCGTGGGCCCTCCCTACAAAGGGCAGACCAGTGGTGGCTGACGTGGAGAGCAGAGCCAGGCCTGGAGGGTCGGGAGCCTTGCCGCCTAGGACCCTGTCCCACGGATCCCGAGAGCGTCTGAGGGACAAGAGGGGAGAGTGTGAGGCCTGGTGGCCAGGCTGCAAGGAGAGCCAGATCCGTAGACCTCTAGTCTCCTTCAGTCTGTAGGGGCAGAGGGTAGAGGCAGGGACGGTGCCACCTCCCGTGGCCACCCCCTCTGCTGCTGGGGAGAAGGGGCTGTGAGGTTGGGGGAAGAGGGCCAGGCTGACAGAGGGTAGGCCCAGGAGGGCAGAGTTTGGGAGAGAAGTGAAGGGAAGGAGAAGAGAAAGAGCAAACACGGGGTCCACGAGTGGCGTGTACTCCAGCCTCATGGACACCCCTCGGAACAAAAGCCCACCCTTCCTGTGGCCGTCATCCCCATGGGCATGCCGAGGGCTGTGGCTTCATTTGTGGAGGTAGGCGTCCAGCCACAGCTGCCCAGACTTCTTCAGGGACCTGCAGAGAGACAGGGCTGGGGGCTAGGGCTCAGGGACCAGCTTGGGGGCGCCGCGGAGCCCTAGGGAGTGGGAGGGCTGGGGAAGATGTGATCGGGTGGCAGGTACTTTCCTGTAGTCCTCAGCCAGGGCTTGCCACCGCCACTGTGGCCTGCGGGGCCACTGGCTCAGGGCCCCCGGGGTAACCCCTTGCAGAAAGACAAAGGGAAGTTCCTCTTTCTGCCAGAGAGAGAAGCCCGGCAAATTCTGACACAGGCTTAGGAGTAAAGGGAGTATGCTGGGTGGGGGCGCTGTGCCAGGAGCACCTGGCCCCTCTTATGGTCACCAGTCTCCACGGGTGATCCCAGCTGTGTGCCTCTCGGTCCCCTCAGTCCCCACCCAGCCCCTCCCTGTGCCCAGGGGCCTCCCAGGCCAGCACCTGCCCCCACCTGATGATGTCCAGCAGGGCCTGCAGCAGCGGCTTCTCCTGGTACTCGATGCCATGCTTGGCGCACAGAGACTTCACCAGCGGGGCGATCTTGTACAAGTTGTGCCGGGGCATGGTGGGGAAGAGGCTGGGAGAGCACAGGGTGGGCAGAGTGTGAGGATGCCCGGCGGGCCGGGCCGCTCCCCACCTCCTGCCATGGCCCAGGCGGGGGCTGTCCACAGCCAGGACCAGGCCTGCATGCGGCTCTTCCTGTGTGCCCACAGGGCTACTGGGGCTGTGCAGCCAGTCAGAGGCAAAATGTCATGTTTTTCAAAAGAGGAAATCAGGCCGGTCACAGTGGCTCACGCCTATAACCCAGCACTTTGGGAGGCTGAGGCGGGAGGACTGCTTGCTGCACTCCAGCCTGGGCAGCAGAGTGAGACCTTGTCTCAGAAAAATAAAATAAAAGGAAATGAAAGAAATAGGTGGAGAATGAGAAGAAAAGAGGTGAGAGAAGGATGAGGGGCAGCAGGGGCGGTCCCTCAGCCACCTATGTTCCAGGTGAGCTACCTCTCTGGGCTCCGGTGTCCCTGTCGATGAAGTGGGAGCAGTAACCCCTGCCCTCAGGCCCTCTGTGGCCACACGAGGAGAAGGGTGGTGATCACTGTGACCAGGGCATCTCGGGGAGCTGGCACAAGGGAGTCCCCTCCTGAGCTCGGCGGGGCTGGCTGTGGAGCCACGCACTAGGACTGGACCTTGTTGGGGGACAGAGATAGCCCCTACCAGCTGTGCTCTGCCCAGATGGGGCTGGGGATCACTTCCCTCCCCTGTGGGTCTCCCCACCTCCCCCTCCCCCACCTGGGCCCATGCTCACTGGTGCTCGATCTGGAAGTTGAGGTGCCCACTGAACCAGTCGTTGAAGAAGGACTGCTCCACGTTGCAGGTGGCCACCAGCTGCGGGGGAGGCGCACCAGTGGCAGTGAGTGAAGGAAGACTGAAGGGCCTGGCCTCATTCCCAGGGGCCCATTCTCTGGGCCACCCCTCCGTGTCACACCATCCTGTCTGGAGGCCTCGGCCCACCCAGATTTCCCACTTGTCCCTCTGGAGGATTCCTGCCACCCTTTCTCGTTTAGCCCTGAAGCTGCCAGCAGGACATAGGCAGCCCCAGGGAAGCCCAGCATGGCCCTGGTGCCCGGCTCTGCCTTCCCTCACCTGGCTGCTGAACCAGTCGCGATAGGACTCGCAGTCGATCTCCATGACAATGTGATTCATCTGCGTGACCCACACAAACCAGTGGCTCTCCAGGAACCTGCAAGAGAGCACCGCTATGCACTGGGGCCTCTGAGGCCCCCGCGGCCCCAGCCACCCTCCCAACCACCCCAGGTCAGCCCCTGCTGAGGTGCCAGGACATGGGGACATCTGGGCCTCTCCTCACAGGGCTCATATCGAAGCCCATCAATGCCAGTGCTCGCGAGGGCCCAGGGCCAAGCAGCAAAGCTCAGGCACCTGATGAAGTTGAGGAAGACGAGTGCTCCCAGGACGCCATAGAAAGGGATGTAGGTGATGAAGAAACGGGTATAGTAGCTGATGGCCCAGGCCAGGTCCTGCGGGAAAGACAAGATTAGGTGTGGCCTGCCCCACCCGCCCTAGCATGGCCCCCGGATGTGCACACACCTCAGCTCGCTGCTGGACGAATGCATCCACAAAAAACCCCAACAGGCCCCTAGGAAGTCAGGCAGCAGCTGCCCATTTGCTTGGGGCTTGCATGGCCACCTTTGTTTCTAGGGAAATGTGTCTTAGCTGCAGGAGGCAGATTACACTTTGCTATTCCAGAGAAATGGGGAGGGGTAACAGTGGTTGGCCCCGGGCAGGGGCAGCCCTTGCATGGGGCCAGGGGGTTTTGAAGGTGCCCCCTACACTGGGCCAGGTCCCCACCTGCCCTCCAGCCCCATCCTGCCCCCAAACACCTGGACACCTCCCAGCCTCTCACTTCAGCAAGACAGCCAGGGAGCAAAGGCCACCAGGCACCGCTGTCCCCACCATAGGGCCCTTGCGGCAGCCTCAAGCACTACTGGCCTCTCCCCATGCCCCTTTCTCCTTTGTGCCCCTCACTGGGGTGGTGACAGGGACTGGGCTTGGACGTCTTCTCTCCCGTCCTGGGTGGGTGCCACTGCTCCGCCCTCCACTGTCCATCCCTCTCCTCTTCCTCTCTGTCACCCAAGTCCCTGTCTCAGCTAGACCATGGCAGCAGCCTCCCACTGGTCTCCTGCTTGTCCTCATGGCCCATGGCAGCCAGAGTGACCATCCCTCCAAGCAGACCCCGTCTCTCCCCTCCTAAAGTCCCCACCCCATCCAGAGTCGCCCATGGAGCCTGTAGGGCCGGGAACTTCTCCCTCCTCGGCCACCTGACTCAGCTCACTCCCACCCCAGGGCCTTTTCACGGCCTGTGTCCTCAGCCAGGAATGTTCATCCCTGCTGTGTTATATGCAGATGCCACATGCCACAGGCTCAGCACAGGAGTTGGGGTGGGGTGAGGCGAGGCAGAGGGGGCAGGCCAAGGGTACTGCCCTGTCTCGCTTCAAATGACAGAAGGATACGGTCACATTTGTGTCTTAAGAGATTCCCAACAACTGGAGATGGGGAAATTAGGAGGGTCTTCTGGTGGCTCAGACATGAAATGATAGAGGCCTAAACCAGGACCCACAGCGCTGACGAGGGAACTGTAGATTCCAGGACTATGTAGGAGGCAGAGGGGCTGCATCCGGTCGCTACTCGGCTGGGAGGAATCTAGGCTGGTCCTGGTGACCAGGGCTTGGGTGCCGGTGGCTGCACAGGGAAGGAGGAGGGGACCGGCAGTAGCCAAGTGAAAGACCTCAAGATCCAACAAGGTGGCCTTTAAGGGGGCGGGGGCGGCAGATCTCTGCAGTTCTGCTTCTACTTTCCCGCACATTCGTTTCGTTCTGTGTGTGCAGCGCAGTAGCGCGTGTGCGAATCTACATGCCACATGCAGGTACAGAAATGGGATGGGGGCACGCGTGTGGATTTACTTTTGTGTAAAGAGTGACAGGTGTGCATGGGACCACTAGTTTCAGGGGCAGGGGCTGAAGGAGATGCCAGAAGCCACCAGAGCAGGAGCAGCTGTGGGGCAGGAGCCCTCGGAGGCGGGACCTGGAAGCGGACAGGAAGAACTGCACGAGGGAGCGGTCAGCGCTGTCAGATACAGAGAAGCTTCAGGAGGGTGAGGCCCCAGGGAACTTCGCCAGAGCAGTGAAAACCTCCCTGCGGAAGCCTGCAAAGCTCTTAGGGCTTATCACCCTCTTTCCTCAGGCCGGGGGTCCCCAGACTCCATACTATTGGCATCTGGGGCCGGATGCGTCATCGTGGGGGGCTGTCCTGGGTGTGGCAGGATGCATAGCCCCACCCTGGCTGGGTGCCCACTAGATGCCAGTAGCATCCTCCCGCCCCCGGGATTTGATTTGACAAACAAACATGTCTCCAGATACTGCCAAATGGCCGACAGAATCGCCCCGTTGAGAACCACTGCCCCGGGTCACAGCTGCGCCCAGGCCCTGCAAGTCCCAAGGGCTCATCAGGGTTCCCTGGCTTTTAGGAACACAGTGTGATTTCCTATTTAATGCTTTGCTCCTTAGGGAACAAGCACAGTTAAAAGAAAAGATTATATATTTATATCAAGGGTCATGTGCCACAAAAGCTGATTAAAACTCCCCAGCAGTGTCCCCTGACCAGCATAGCACGGCTCGGGTTCCTTTCTAGCCGCGACTCTCGTGGTGGCCCAGGTGAGCCCCAGGGCAACAGCAGTCTCGGCAGGGGAGGAGACCTGGCTGAGCTGATCCAGGAACTTTGGGTCGGTCTCTCTGTCCCTCCACCCTCACCTGCCCAGTCAGTAAAACAGGGTTCGCGACGTAATGTGGGCGCAGTGCCGCACTGCTCCTGGAACACGGGAAATGCTGACGACGCGCTCGTTTTGAGAAAATATGTCCTAGAAATGAGCACATACAGGCTCTCCCAGGACAGGCTGGCAGAGGCTTCCAGGGTCCCACCCCTTCCCCACACCCCCACTGCACCCCCAGCCCCAGCCTTGGCCCTCTCAGCAGAATCACCAGACACGGTCTTTTTGCCCTGTAATTTCAGCAAGAGGATGTGAGACTAAGGACTCTGAAGCCCTTAAAGTGCTCTGCAAGTACGAGGTGCTGTTATTTGAAAGAGAGAGAGGTGGCTGGGCTGCGGGGGGAGAGCACAGCACTTGGCGTCAAGCGGCCACCCCACCCCACGGTGCCACTTTGGGCAAGGCTCAAACTTTCAGAGTCGCAATACAGAAACCCCAGGGCTGGCCTCGTGCCCCACACTGGCCAGCCCCTGCCGGGCCAGGCCCCCTTCTCTCTCTGGAAGCAAAGTCAGAGGACTTCTCTGAGCCTGCTGTTTTGAGATGAACCTTGTCCCCCCCAAATTCATATGTTGGAATTCTAACCCCCACAACCTTAGAAAGTGACCTTATTTGGAAATAGGGTCACTGAGATGGAGCTAGTGAGGATGAGCGCATCGCGCTGGGCCCTGAAGCAGTGTGACTGATATCCGCATTAAGAAAGGGAAATTTGGACACAGACACAGATACGCATCGGGGAAGACGGCACCTGCCAGCCGCGGAGAGGCCTGGAGCAGAGCCTGCCCTCAGCGCTCACCGAGGAGCTCTTCCAATTCTGCTGTTTAAACCGCTCAGCCGG